CTGCACCTTGTATTTGGTTTGGCCAACAGCCATTCCTCCTCCTTCCTCTGGGGACCCTTCTGAGAAGAGCAGAGCTGAGAAGAAGAAAGGAAATATGAGATGGCAGGCCTTTCTTGTGGCCCAAACTGCCCAGACTGGAAGCAGTTCTGGACCCGCATCAACCACCCATGGAGACAAGGAGAGTGGTCAAAAGCGTCAAGGCTGTCCTGAGCATTCCTAGTGTCAGAAGGGGAGAAGTTTCTGCTACCCAAGACCTCAATCTGACCTGACCTCACACGAGTAACCACTGGTACACACACGCTATTACCCCGGCACGATTACAACTACCCTGCAAGTGCACACGCGAAGTTGCACGATCACACACACATCCTCACAGTCACAGGCAGCGCACTTAGTGGTAACATTCATGCCACCGCCGTCACACACAACCGGCAGACAGAACCGCATGATCACAGATTCTGACACAATGTCACACAAAATTACACGGACCTAAACTCACAGCCCCATCACGGGGACAGTCTCACCTGCACACACACAGTCAGGCGGTGTCACAGCAACACGGGGATATCCACAGTCACCTGCCAGCAGAGCTCAGAACTCCGCACACGGTCACGGTCACAATGACACCCGCACACAGCGCCACAGTCACATTATGCCACAATCGCACACATGGAATCCTACACCTCTTGTCCCCTCCACCCTTCAGCCCGACCAACTCACACAGGGCGGAGACTCCAGACCCGGCCAGACAGTTCCTGCAGACTCCCAGGGACGAGCCGGAACAACCTAGTCGGAAGCCCAGTACCTAGGCCCCTCACTTTGCACTTCTTCTCCGGAGGCCGAGCGTCCCGCAGGCAAGTGAAAAGGCAGCCCGGGTCCCCGGGGGGCTGCTGGGAAATGTAGTTTGGAGCCGGATCCGCTGGGGCAAGACGGCGCCCCGACCTCCGGTTTTCCGGCTGATGCACAGGCTGATCCAAGCCGACATCCTTGCTTCCCTCTCAGAATCGCTGCCAGGAATCTTCGAGATCAATATGCAGTCTCTGGGTGAGGCTCCCACACGAGTGCAGGCCCCACGTCCTGGAGACAAGCTTCCTCCACCAACCGTGCCAATTCCAGGGAGCCATGTTCCCTGAGAAATAGAAAAGGTCGCTGGATTCGCAAGTTCTTCTGGGAAATGTAGTCTAGACCGGAAAGCGTGAGGTACCCGCCAGGAAGATTGTCTTAGAAGTCCTGCTCTAAACTTGCCCGCAGTCCTTTCAGGGAGACCAGGAGTTTATCTTGAAGGATAACCTTTAGAGAAGGAGCTTCCATGAAGAGACGAGAAGTCAAGCATAATGACATCAGGTGGAACCTATGTGCCAAGATCAGGATATACATGTTTATGTTTAAGGGAAGATTGATCCCAAAAACTACGTCTCAGCATGATTTTGGTAGGAATTGACAAGCTGACGCGAAAATTCAGATGGCCTGGAAGGGACCCAGAAAAGACAAATAATCGTGAAAATGAAAAACAAAGTTAAAGGACTCACGTTTTCTAATTACAAAACTTACGCAGTTACAGTAATCAGTATTATTGGCATAAAAATAGATTTCTAGCATTGAGTGCATAAATAAGCCCTTATATTTACAGTCTATTGATTTTCAACAAAGGTACCAAAGCAACTTAATGCAAGAAAGAATAGTCTTTTCAACATATGATACGGGAACAACTGGATAGAGACATGCAAAAAAAAGTTACTCGAAATCTAATTATTCTAACAACATTTGTTGACAGTGCTATTACCTTTCTCAAATCTGTGGTAGCAAGATAACAGGCACCCCAATATGACCACATTCTAATTCCTGGAGCCTGTGAATATGTTACGTTATATGGCATAGGGCATCAAGTTAGCAGATGGAATTAAAGTTGCTAAGAAACTGGCCTTAAAATAGGGAGATTTTCCTGGATTATATGGTTGGGCCCAATGTAACAGCAGGGTCCTTAAAAGCGGAAGAGGAAAGCCAAGCATAAGAGTCAATGTCAGAGTGGTATAATGTGAGATTCAACCAATCATTATTGGATTTGCCGATGAAAGGGGTCCACCAGGTGAGGAATGCAGGAAGTGTGTCCAAGCTAGATAGGGAAGGAAACATCCTCTCCAGCCTCTAGAAAGGAATGCAACCATGTCAACTCGATTCTACAACTGTGAAATTCATTTCAGACTTTTGACCCAAAGAATTATAAGATAATAACTATGTTGTTAGTGCCACTACGTGGATGGTAATTTGTCACAGCAACAATAGGAAACTAATAAAGCAACTTTATTAATCAATTATCCATGTATCTGTGAGTCTAATTCTGGAATCATGTATATGTCTGTCCTTAGCAAATACTAGCCTAGTGTGAATACTCTTTATTGAGAAATAATTCACATAGAATGAAATGCACCATTTTAAACTGTACAATTTGATGGATTTTGCTACATTCACGTGGTTTGTGCAACCATTGCTGCTATCTTATTCCTGAATATTTTTATCATCTCAAGAGAAACCCTGTACTTGCAGTGTTCACTCTCCATTGCCACCTTTCCCCCATCAACTGGCTTCCAAAAGTAGATTTCCTGTTTGTATGGATTTGTCTAGTCTAGACATTTCACAAAAATAGAATTAAATGAGGCCACTTGTGTCTGTCTGACTTACTTAGCATATTGTTGCCAAGGTTCATCCAAGTTGTATCAGTACTTCATTCCTTTATATTACTAAATCATATTTCATTGTACAGATATACCACCTTTTTTTAGCCATTCCTCAATTGATGGACTTCTGGGTTGTTTCTAATTTATGGAAATTATAAATAATGGTGCAGTATATTCATAGACACATTTTTTAAAATTTTGGTATCATTAATATACAATTACAGAAAGAACACTATGTTTACTAGGTTCCCCCCTTCACCAAGTCCCCCCCCACATACCCCTTCACAGTCACTGTTCATAGGCACATTTTTTATGTGAAAATGTTTTAGGTTCTCTTAGGTGTGTACCTAGGAGTGGCATTGCTGGGTCCTATGGTAATTCTGTTTTAACTTTTCAAAGAAAAGCCAAACTGTTTTCCACATAGAGTTTTAGTTTTGCAAGATAAAAAAATTTCTGGAGATCTGTTGCACAGCAATGTGAATGTATATTATACTACTGAACTCTACACTTAAAGATGTTTGCAATGGTAAATTTTATGTACATTTTATAACAATTCTTTTAAAACTCTGTACACAAATATAGTATTCTCTAGTAGTTTTATTTATAAAAACCAAAACCTGGAAACAATCCAGATGTCCTCCAATGGTGAACGGTTAAACGGTTGTCATCTATACCATGGAATACTACTCAGCATTTAAAAAAAAAAATGATCTATTGATACACACAACCTGTACAAATATCTAGAGAATTATGACAAGTGAAAAAACCCAATCACAAAAGATTGTACACTGTATGATTTCATTTTCTATAACATTCTTCAAATGACAAAATATAAAAATGAAGGACAAAGTAGTAGTTACCAGTGATTAAGGAGGGTGTGAAGTTGGGAGGAAAATCAGTGTGACTAGGGAAATATGAGGCATCCTTGGGGAAATGGACATGTTCTGTTTCTTGATTGTATCAAGGTCAATGTAGATCTTGTGATATTATCGTATAGTGTTGCAAGATGTTACTATTGAGAGAAACTGCATAAAGAACACACCAGATCTCTCTTATTCTTTCAAGTATATATAAATCTACAATTATTTCAAAATAGAAAGTCAAGCTAAAAAAATATTAGGGAGAATTTTCCTAAAAAGAACTTTAAGCCTTTCATTTGTTCAGGTCAAGTTTTATTTCTTGTGGGAGTGTTTTAAAGTCTATCTTCTATAAAAAGTGCATTTCTTAAGTTTATTTCTAGATATTTTATGTTTTTGTGCTGTTGTGATTGTTTCTTATCTATCATATTTCCTGTTTTTTAATATATGAAGACTTGGATTCTGTATGTTATATCTTCCCATACTACTACATTTTCTTATTGTTTTTAGAATTTTCCATTAGTTTTCTTAGATTGTTAAATGTATACTAGCATATCATCTGCCAGTAGAGATTGTTTCAACTTTTACCAGACAGTTTTATAACTCTAATTGTTTTCTCTTTTTCAACTGCATTGGCTAATGCCTCTAAAATAATGTTAAAAATGTGTGATGATAATAGGCATCCTTGCCTTTGTTCTGAATCTAGCACAAATGTTTCCTGAGTTTCATTATTAAGTAAGGTAAGATACTGAGTTTTGGGCTGAGGTAGATATAAATAAAGATATATACAGATAGATCTATAAAGATATTTATATGTACATATACATATATACACACAATAAGTATCAATAAATCATAAACGCTTACATTTTTTAGTAATGGGTTTTGAAGTTTTAAAGAGATGCTTTCCTCTTTAGGCCTATTAATATGATAAATTATATGAAAGTTTGTTAACATCTTGTCATTCTTTCATTTCTAAAAACACTTGGCTATTCATTGAAGTTAGAATACTATCTCATTTAAATCTTGCAAGTATTTGATTTAGAAATTTTTTTCACCAATATTTATTAGTAAGATATGCCTATACAAATTTTTATGCAATAATAAGGTTTGATATTACTTTAAAACATAAAACACATATGGGAGTTCTATTTTTTCTCTTACTTTTTAATAGTGGGACATTTGATCTTTTAAAGTTTAATAGAATCTCTGTGAAACTTTGTGTGTGTGTGTGTGTGTGTGATAAACCTATTTTCACTATTTTATGTATAGTGGTCTATTTGGACATTCTGTCTCGAATGGGATCAACTTTGGCAAATTACATTTTCCTTCAAAATTATCTATTTCAAATCAATTTTCACATTTATTTGCAAAAAAACTGTACAAAGTAGTCTCTTAGGATCTAAAACATTTCTCTCTTCCAATTATTAACCTTGTTATTTCTCAGTTTATATGTTTGTCTTTTTTCAGATTTGTTTGGTCGTGTGTTGCTAATGCTCCCCAAAACCGACCTCCAAAAGTGGGTGGCTAAAAAGAAGAAACGGCAGGCCCCAAATGGAGTTAGTTACCTGTGCTAAAAGTCCAACAAGACTTAATACCTAACTTTCCGGGCACGCAGGCTCCAGACTACGTCTCCCAGAAGTTCCCGCGGCCTGACTCCCCTTTCCGTGACGTCTCGCGGTATTTTCCCACGGTGGCTGGGCTTCAACTCCTCACAAAGAGCCGCCAGAAGCTGCTAGGCTTAGTTGTGCCTGGCTTGTGTGGAAGCAACGCAGGAGCGGCGTGAGGTGAGGAGGCTTGAGCCTGTTGGGGTCCACAGCGTCCAGTGTCTGGGGGTGGAGCGGGCTGAGGGGTAGAGGTTATGAGCGTGTCCTTGCGAGTGGGTGCCTGCGAGGGCCTGCAGCGACAGCGAATCTGGTCACGATGTCCCCGTGGTTTATGTATGATTATGACGGTGCAGCAGCGTACGTAGGTGTGCAGAGCCCGTGACTGCGGGTGTGATTGTGAGTGTCCTCTTGTATTGTGCTTTGTGACCGTGGGTCCCAGAAGCAGTGTGTGCGAGTGCGTGGTGCATATGACTGTGCAGGTGTTGTGTGTGTCTGCGGAATGACCGTGTGACCGTGGCATTGTGTGCATGGTTATGGAGTGCCTTTGACTGCCCTAGTGACTCCAACACTATGTCCCAGGAGACCCCTGTAAATGAGGACAGATTGTAGTCTTCCGTCCTTGGGGAAAAAAACCTTGGACAGACTCTTGACGGTAGGAGTAGAAATGAGACCGGGCTCGGGCACAGTTTTTGCCAGGAAATTCTTACAGACACTTACATCGGCAGCCAATTCTGGCTTGAGGTTGAGCAGCCTAGTCTGTGTTCGTGTCGGGCCACAATTACGTTATTCTTTTGTTTGTAGGTCAGAAGTGAACATATGAAGTAGGTTGTGGTGGTGCTTCACGTAAAATGATCAGAATATTCAAGTGATTAAACTTCATTTCCAAGGGATGACAATCCCTTTCAAATTGTAAAGAGAAATTTTGCTGCTACTTGATTATGTGCTTTTTTTTACCCCCAAAGGGAGTACATGGCCCCCTGCCAAAATTAAAATATTAATAATTAAAAATTTTTTTGAAATAAAAAACCAGGCCTAGAATCAAAGACAGAGAATGCTGACTTTAAGATGCTGATATCCAAAAACATTTGGGATGTGATTAAGTAAATCATGCCATACACATACATGTAATATAATTTTTTACAACTGATACATGTTGTTTTCAGAAAATGCTTATGATCTGTGTTAAGCTGTGGTAAATGAAAAATACTCAAGAAATAGTTAAATCATAATCAAAACCATTTTACTAATAGAACTATTTGTGAGATATTTTGCAGAGTCTATAAAGAAAGATTTTTTACATTGGTGAAAAAAGCAAAGAAGGAGAGGGATAAACCTGTATTTATTAAGCAACGATGTGTTTCAGACACCATCATTTATGCCTTTCTTATGCTATTTTATGTAATTTTGAATTTTATCTGAATTTACCAGAAAGATCTTGATAGTGCAATTGTTTCAAGGAGCTAGGGCGTTTCTTTTGTTTTTAATGAAAATGTTTTTAAAATAATTGCCTTTTTTACTGTTATTTGTTTGAGTCACATTAAGTTTCTTAATGGTCCCTATTCCTGTCACAGGAGTGTTGACAGCCATTCACAATTTTCTTAAAATTTAGGGTGCTCCTCCCCTATCTCTGGTTACTTTTTTTTCCCACACTATGAAAATAGCTTTTATGGATTTTTTTTTCCTAATGAAGTGTTGCAGACTTAACAAAAAAACCCAGAAAGTTTAGATTATAAAGAATCAGATTTAAATTACCTGTAATTCTATCATTCAGATGTGTTCATTATTTTCGAGGATATATTTCCAAATATTTATTTGCATGGCTCTATGGTTTAATAGAATAAGATTACAATACACTTATTTTCTGTTACTTGCCTGCCCATCTCAATAATGTAGAAACCTTTTCCTCTTTATGAATAAGCACCATCATTATTATTAATTATTACATTGAATTCTGTTATCTTAATGTACCATAATTTGTTTGACTAACGGCCAAATTGAAGCCTGTGTTGTTTCGAGCTTTTTAAACTTTTCCCTGCCAAACATTCTTGTAAATACAGTTTTGTGGCCATTCATAATTATTTCCTTAGGATTGTTACCTAGAATTTGAAATTTTGCAATATGGAAACCCTATTCTAGTACTTGGGGGGTGGGACAAGGTTTTAACTTAGTGTTTGGGGATCTTTGTTTTTATTTAATACAGGCATTTACAGCTGTACCTTTCCTTCTGAGCACTGCTTTGTTTTAACCCATATGTTTTGTCATGTTGTTTTTATTTTCATTCACCTCAAAATACTTTCTAATTTCACTTGTAATTTCTTCTTTGGACCATTGATTAAGAATAGGTTGTTTAATTTCTACATATCTGTGAATTTTCAGTTTTACTAATGTTATTGATTTCTAGGTTCATTTCTTTATGACTGGAGAACACATTTTATATGATTTCATCAATTTTAAACTTATTGAGATATCTTTTTTTTGCAGTATTTTTTTTCTTTTTATTTATTTTTGATATCCTTAATATACATTTACATGAACAGCATTTGTGGTTGCTATACTGCCTTCTCCATGCTCCCCCTTACATCTTGTGTGCTAATCATAATGCCCCTTTTTCCCCTTATCCTTTCCTTCCCACCCACCCTCCCCAGTCCCTTTCCCTTTGGTAACTGTTAGTGCATTCTTGGGTTCTGTGAGTCTGCTGCTCTTTTGTTCCTTCAGTTTTTGCTTTGTTCTTATATTCCACAGATGAGTGAATTCATTTGGTACTTGTCTTTCTCCGCCTCGCTTATTTCACTGAGCATAACACCCTCTAACTCCATCCATGTTGTTGCAAATGGTATGATTTGTTTTCTTCTTATGGCTGAATAATATTCCATTGTGTATATGTACCACATCTTCTTAATCCATTCATCTACTGATGGATACTAAAGTTACTTCCATTTCTTGGTTATTGTAAATAGTGCTGCAATAAACATAGGAGTGCATATGTCTTTTTCAAACTGGGCTGCTGCATTCTTAGGGTAAATTCCTAGGAGTGTAATTCCTGGGTTAAATGGTATTTCTATTTTGAGTTTTTTGAGGAACCTCCATACTGCTTTCCACAAAGGTTGAACTAATTTACTATTTAGATACCTTTTTATGGCCTAGTATATGCTAGAGAATGTCTCATATGTACTTGCAGAGAATGCATGTTCTGCTGATGTTGTATGAACATGGATGAATAGGTGTCCATTAGGTCTAATTTGTTTATATGTTGTTCAAGTCTTCTATTTCCTATTGATATTCTGCATTGTTGTTCTACCTATTATTAAATGTGGAGTATTGAAGCCTCCATTGTTATTGAATTCTCCATTTCTCCTTCCAAGTCATTGTTTTCTTCATGAATTTTAAGGTCTTTGCTAGGTTCATAAATGTTTATAATTTTTATATTCTCCTGAGAGATTGACTCTTTTGCAATTACAAAATTTCTCTTTGTTAACTTTTTTTTCAGTTTTAAAGTCTATTTTCTTTGATATTAGTATAAGAAGACTAGTTTTTTTAAACTTTCTTTGAATGTATATCTTCTAATATTCTTAACACTTCCAGTCTATTTGTAGCTTTGAATCTAAATTGTCTCTTTGTAGTAGGAAGACAAGCCAAGAAAAGGGACAATGTTTCATTAAGGCTTTGAGAACATAGAGGAATACCAGCATGCTTGAGTTTGAAGCAATGTAGCAATGTACCCCCCATTGGGACCCAGTGATATGGAACATCTTGTTGATCATAGTCATGTAGGCCCATTAGTTTATAATATGATTTCCTAGTAACCTTTATTGAGATGGGTTAAACATAACTAGCATTCTGGCTGAACCTATAGTACAGTAACAGCTCCCACTGCAGCATTCCTGCGGGCTGACTCCCCTTTACCCTTGTAGTGAATGTGTAAAAGGCATGGCCTTTCTCTGCTCAGGGCTCAGCCTTTGGATGTGAATCTGCCGAGCCAGTGCTCGCACTAATAAATGCTTCCAACCAAACATCTCAGTGGCCCGACTCCTTGTTCGTAGTTCCCACGGTTCCTGCAACATCATGTAGACAGCATAAAGTGGGATTTTGTTCAACACTGACAATCTCAGCCTTTCAATTGCATCATTTAATCTATTCACATTCAATGTCATCATTGGTATAGTTGGATTTATGCCTGCCATCAATCCAGTCTCTCCATATCCTCAACAACATTTGTTGTTCTTTGTTTCGGTGGCAGTAGACATGCTAATGCTTGTGAGGCAGTGTGACTCCCGTGAGAGCTTTCGTCTGCATTTCCCTAATGGTTTAATATCCTCCTCTTGCTTCTTTTATCCATGATGGTATCTCTGCTGCATGTATTTTGGTTTACAAAGTTGATTTCTTTTTCTACTTCCTTTCTCTCATTTTTGAATTCATAATAAAAACGTGGCAAAACCCAAACCAAACAAACAAACAGCATCTTCTCTTAGAAGGCATAAAGCAACGTCTAGAGGCAGTTAGCCAGAGGAGGAAGAGGTTTAACTTTGGGCCTATAAAGGCTACATTCATATCTCCCCTCAAAGCCTCTACAGGGAACACAGGAACATGTTAAACACTACCGTGGGAATGCAGTCAGAAAAATCCGGAATATAGGAAACTCTGAAAAACAAACCAGGTTTGTTCAATGAATAAATGAAGAGGGAGAGCAAACTGTTTTAGCTAAAAAGAGGCTAAAGGATACATCGGTCAAAGGCATTGTATGCAATTTGTTCAGATCCTGACTTGAATCCCTATTGTGCATGTGGGAGCCTCGGGTTTTTTAGCATAAGTGGGAGGGGATAGGGACCCTAAAGCCTTTGTCTGTCTTGTAACAGGTGTAACCTGTCCTTAGTGTAGGAGACTGTCATGTTCTACATTCCCTCCTGTTTTCTTGGTGTTTATGTATGTGAGTGGTTGATATGGGCAACGAGGTCAGGATTAGGAAGGTGACGGAAGATAATTCTTTTTTCTTTTAACTTTCATCACCAAATATAACAGATTCAGAAAACTGCAGAATATAAATACTGTAACTTAATGAATTCTTTTAAGTCCAATACCCTTATAGTACCGGTAGTCATGTTTAACCTGGTGACTCTGAGAGCTGTTAGGAACTTTGATTTCTCACTTACCTTTTTTTCCCTTCCCTAGTTTTGTCTTCTCTGAACTCAGCCTGTCTCCAAGGGAAGGGAGACTACAGCTGAAGAGAGAAGAAAGAAAAGAGCAGAACCAAATAGTGCTTGTAATTCTAAGTCATGACTGAGGTTATTGGTGTTTTCTCTCTTTTTACAGGGTTATAGTTATTTTTTTCCAGGTCATGAATATTAGGTTTCCTTATTATGAAACTTTATTCCTAATTGAGCCCCATACAGGAACCTGGGTCCAAGCTCCTCCCTTCCAGCAGTGATTGAGGGGCTCCCTCCATACCATTCTCTTCTTAATCCAGTGTACACATCCTCATTCGAAAATCATCGTGTGCTCAGTCTTTTAATAGGAGCACTTCCCTTGAACTATGAGGTCATCCCTCATCAGATTTGGGTTTAGTGAAGCAGAGATATATAATGAATTTCTTAAGATTTACATGGCCTTGTCCTTTCAGCAGGTAGTGATGTTCAGTGATGTGGCTGAACCTTCTCTCAGGCGGAGTGGGAATTTCTGGACTGGAAACAGAGGGACTTGTACAGAGATATGATGTTGAAGAACTATAACAAATTGGTCTCATTGGGTAAGGACACTTGCTCCCAGTAACTAAGATTCTGCTTTATGTGTATAAAAAATAGACCTGTGTATAAATAACTTTTGTTTATACATGTGGGAACGTTTTTGGAACTTAAATAGCTATATGTAAAAGTAGCTGATATTAAGAAAAAAAAGAATCTGTTACTAAGAATGTCTCTGTCATTAACCACAGTGTTGCTCATGTGGTTGTATATGAATGATACGAAAAGAAAAAAAAATGTCTCTGTCCTCTGTTACCAGTTTTCTGGATATCTTTCTGAGTTTCTACTTTTGATTATGAACAGAGCACTTTCAACTTTGTAGAATTGGAAATGGGCATTTCTTTTGTACTGTGACTAGAGCTTCATATTACCCATACTTTAGTCAATCTTGACACATTTCTCTGAGCTTTTCCCTTTGTCACCAGATAATTGGGTCTGAATTTCAGACATTCTTGGCATAACAAAGTACTATTTCTTTTTGGTTATTGTCAACAGGACTCACTTCCTAAACCAACTTTGATCTCCTTTTTGGAACAAGATGATGAGCCCCAGATGGTTGAGAGAGAAACAAGGAAAGGCATATGCCCAGGTAAGTGAGGGGTATTCAGAGAGGGGGAAGCTGTTGCATGAATAGACCACGTGCTCACTGAGCTGGGAGTCCGTAGGTGAGACTGTTCAGAATTTTCTTCAGATTATCTGAAGAAGATTAAAAATTGAAATTGAAACCCTTGTGTACTGTTGGTGGGAATGTAAAATGATACAGCCACTATGGAAAAGAATACAGAAGTTCTTAAAAATATTAAATATAGAATTACCATAAGATCCATCAATACTGCTTCTGGGTATATATCAAAGAATTACCATCAAATCAAGTAATTCCATCTCTGGGTATCATATACCAAAATTGGAAACAGGATTTCAAAGAGATATTTGCACACGCATGTTCATTGCAGCATTATTCACAATAGCCAAGAGAAAAAAATCAACCCAATGTCCTCATGGTAGCATGCATTAAGAAAATATGATATGGGCGTGAGTTGATATCTCATTATGGTCTTATTTTGTATTTTCCTTATGATTAGTGATGTTCAGCATCTTTTCATGCGCTTGTCAGCCATTTGTATTTCTCTACTGGAGAAATGTCAGTTCAAGTCTTTGTTTGTGTTTAAATCAGTTTTTGTTGTTGTTGAGTTGTAAGAGTTCTTTCTATATTCTGGATAGTAACCTGTTATCAAATATATGGTTAGCAAATATTACTCCCGTTTCATAGATTGCATTTTCACGCTCCTGACTGTTTCCTCTGCTGTGCAGATGTTTTTAAGTTTGGTGCTGTTCCATTCTTCAATTTTTCTTCTGTTGGCTGTGCTTTCGGTGTCATATCCAAGAAATCCTTGCCAAATCCAGTGTTGTGAAGCTTTCCCCTTATATTTTCTTCTAGGAGTTCTATAAGTTTCAGGTCTTCTGTTTAGGACTTTAATCTATTTTTAGTTCATTTTTGTGTATGCTGTAAGGTAAGGATTGAACTTCATTATTTTGCATGTAGATACCTACTTTTCCTGGTACCAGTTGTTGAAGAGATTATTATTCTTTCCTGCTGTGTAGACTTGGCTCCCTTGTTCAAGATTATTTGAAGACATGTGAACCATTTATTCATTTTTGCCAGCCTACTTATTTTTGAAGTTAAAGTGCCAAAAATTTGTCAAATGCAGAGGAAGCATTCCAAAGAATTAGAAAAGTTGGAGAGTGTCCCACTCATCTAGGTCCTAAACATATTCCCTGCACAAGCTTCCTCTTCATCAATATTTACTGCTCTGCTACTTTGTATACTAGATATATTTTAAAATATAAGTTGCTAAGTAATTTACCATCTATAGGGAACCACAAATAACTTCCAAAAAGCAGAATCTGTACAAATAGAGAGATCAAACGGAAGTTGGGCTTAACAATGTTGACCACGGGATTTATCTGTGTGGAGCTGGTAGGTGGAATATGGGAGTGACGAGACTGTCTGGGACTGCATGTAAAGGCTCAGTGTATGCAGAGGAAGGGGAGGTGAAGTAGAACTTAGATATGAAGGCCAAGGGTTGGGAAAGTACAGGGCCAGAAAACCAAAGCCTGATCATCAAAAAGGTCCACAGTGGCACATTGCCTATGAGAAACAAAGGAGGATAAAGAGCTGTGTCATTTGACACATAGTCTTAAAGGATCTTGAAGTTCCATAGGACAGAAGTGAGATTACAAAGGAAAGCCACCAAATAATTATTCTTTATTTAAAATGTGAAGGATAGAGAAGACAGTGTTTTACACTATTAAAAAAATGTATTTTTGATGTCTTAGGTGCATCTTTCAAACTATTTTAGTCATAATGTATTATGAAGTTTATAATACATTTATTATGAGGCATACTTAAATATTAAATTGGAAGCCATTTTAAAACCTCATGCATGTAGCATAAGAAAGGAATACTAGTGGCATTCTTCTTGCTTAAAGAAAACTTATAAGCACTTACACATCTCAGAAAACAAAGATGTCAGCATAAACCTTGCCAGAACAAAGCCTAAATAAAATAATCAACAAGAATTATATATTATAGATACATAAAGAATAACTTTCTTAGGATATATCCAGGATCTGCAGTTGGATGTCTTTGTAAGACTCCCTGGTTAGAAGTGAACAATTGCAAAAATCATTTGCAAGTTGGTTTTATGATGCCAAATTCCAGCTGCTTTTGTATGCAGCTGTAAGGAAGGGGGGAGTACTTGCCCCTTATCTTGCTGAGACTCCTTTTATGAACACTTTGAAAAGCCTGTACATTTTCAGGGCTAAGAACTTGAATTCCATTGGTGAACATGGATAAAAAGAGGGAAAACTCCAAAAGTACAGGAGGAATAAAGCAGAAGATTTCCTAACAAATGGAATAGGGACATGCAGTTTTGTTACTGCTTAAGACATCACTTGCTTTAGATTTGAGCCTTACCACTTGTCCAGATTTTCCTTTCCAGGATGATCAATATGACATCCAGGTGAGAATATCTGTGATGCTTCCTTTAAGGCAAAAACATTTGCAGCATTTATTACCATTGCTATTACGTGGGGACTATTTATTACTTCAGTACCACTATTACATATTTTACATAGTAACAGTAAAGCAAATCATCTGGCTATAGCTGGCACAATAAAATGCCTCCCCCCACCCCCACAAGGATTTCCATGTCCTAGTCCCTGTGAATATGTTACATAACATGGCAAAAGGGAACTGAAATTGCCAATCAGCTGACAGGGAGATAATCCCCATTTCAGTGGAGTAGGTCCAGTCTAAGATCATGAGACCTTAAAAGCAGAGGACTTGCCTGGCTGTGGTCAGAGGGAGATGTGACTATGGAAGAAGGGTCAGAGAGACACATCTTTGGGGCTTTGAAAGGGAGAAAGGGGTCCACAAGCCAAGAGGTTTTTAGAAACTAGTAAGGTAAGGAAACATGTTCTCCTAGAGCTTCAGGAAAGAAACACAGCCCTACCTACACACTGGTATGTGTTCAGTAAACTTTTGTTGAACTTCTGACCTACAGAACTATAAGGTAATAAACTTTGTTTTTTATGCCACTAAGCGAGTGGTAATTTTGTTATGGCAGCAATACGAGCCATAGGTAAAATGTAAATTACTCTTATTTCATTGCACCTAAGACACCACTGACTATAAAATACCAATTATTTATGTACTGCTAAAAAGGAAAAAAATACTGCTTTTTAAAAGTATGAAATGCTATTGGGTGTGAGATGCATCCCAGTTTCAGAGATGTCAAAATGAAAAGAATGTGCATAAGTAGAATCAATAAGGTAGCAAAAATATATCTCCAATATTTTTGTTTTGTTTTTATCCTTTTGGGCTTACAGTAGCTTCTCTGTATCCAGATAATCATTCAGGAAACTTTTAAATGAACAGTGCGCTCTGAGACATGAATCAGGATCACCCTTTAGGATTATTTTTCCTCAACCCCCTCTGTCTCCAAACACTTGTGATTCTTCCATGTTGCCATAAACACTGTCCATTTACCAGAACCCATCCTGCCAGACCTCATAACACCTGTCACTCCTCTGCCTTCCTCTTTATACGGTTACAGGCTTTTTACAACATTTCTTTCTCATTTATTTTCCTGAAGCTTTTATTTTATAACAGAAAACTTACAACAGTAGAAATAACTCCACTATCCTCTTTACCCAGGTTTCCTAGTTGCCACATTTGATCTGTCATTTTGTCTTCAGTCTCTTTCTCTCTTTCCATGTATGGATGTGTTTTGTGTGTGTTTGTGTGTGTAATTCATATATATAATATATATAATTTTTTTGTCATTTGAGAGTAAGTAGCAGACATTGTGCCCCATTTACCCTTAAATATCTCACTGTGTATTCCCTAAAAACAAAGACATTATACTATGTAACTGTAGTACAATTATCAAAACCAGAAAATTTAGCTTTGGTATAGTATCATCTTGTCTGCTGCAGTCCATATTAAAAGTTTGTTATTTTCTCCAATAATATACTTTTTTAGCTATTTTTTTTCCTTGTACAAGATCCAGTCTGGGATCAAATTTTGTTATCACATCTCTTTAGTTCCTTTCCTCTAAAATAGTTCAGTTCCTCTTAGCCTTTCTTTGCTTTCATGGCCTTGACATTTTTGAAGATTACAAGCCACTTATTTCATAGAATATTCTTTAATGTAGGTTTTTAAAAATTGATAGGTAATTCTTAATTAAGGTTGTCTAAATTATTCTCATGATTGTCTTTAGATTATGGAATTTAGGATAGGAATATTTACATTAGGGATGCTGTGTCCTTCTCAGGGCATCACATCAAGGGGCACATGATCATTAATAATGTCAAAGCTAGGCAATGACGAGAATCATCAATTCACCCTATTGTTTGCATGAAATATCTTTTTCCATCCCTTGACTTTTAGTGTGTGTGTGTCTTTGGGTTTGAGGTGAGTCTCTTGTAAGCAGCATATAGATGGGTCTTACTTTTTTATCCGTTCTACTACTGTGTGTCTTTTGATTGGTGCATTCAGTCCATTTACATTTAGGGTAATTATTGAAAGATATGTACTTATTGCCACTTCAGGCTTTAGATTCGTGGGTACCAAAGGTTCAAGGTTAGCTTCTTGACTATCTAACCATCTAACTTAACTTGCTTATTAAGCTATTAAAAACACAATCTGATGATTCTTTATTTCTCTCCCTTCTTTTTCCTCCTCCTCCATTCTTTATATATGTTAGGTGTTTTATTCTGTACTCTTGGCACGGGCCATGCTGCTCATGCTGTGTGACAAGGTCCAGGCACGAGGAGGAATCCCGAAAGCCAGGGAACCAAATAGCTGGCCCCTGCCAATTCCCGCACTTATTTTTGGAGTTATGATGTTAGTGATTGGGCTCATATATGGGAAATCTTATGTATCTAAGATTGATTCATTTTTAGTAAATAACATGACCCAAAATATTGATCAAAACAGCAATTCCGGAAACAAAGCAGTGTTATGGGACCAACTGTTCCAGGCATATTGCCATAAATAAGTGAGGCAGAACAACCCAAGCCTCT